CAGAAACAAGTCAAGTGAGGAGAGAGAGGGATGCTGGGGGTGAGCTGGATTTTGGCTTGTTTGCATTTTTATAGGATGCTCAGAGCAGGCCTCATTGACAGGGTGATATTTTGAAGGGTGAAAGGCGACCAAGAATCGGGTGCAATCAAGAATCAGGGACTGGATTAGCAACATCATAGCTACGTGGCAGCATGCTCATTCCTAAGAATCCCTTCTCAGGTGTTACTGGGCTCTGCCCGGGGCATCTGCGAGTCTGCCTCCTCTGGGAAAATCCTGGGTCAACAGTGACAGCTGGGGAGGGCCACACATTCCCAGGCCCCACACTCAGCGTTACATAGAACTTCCCGGTGCAGGCTTGTGTCTTCTGCCTCTTATCCCTCACTCTCACCCACCCTCACTGCTCCCTCCGGTCCCTCCTCATTGACTTCTCTCTTACAGGCTGATGACCAACTATGTGACCTTTGTGGTTGGGGAGCTTCTGCTTCTGGTCCTGACGGTCTGCTCGCTGGCTGCCATCTTTCCCCGGGTAAGCAGCACTCTCCTTTCGGCTCAAAAGCCCTTGGGAAGTGAGCGTCACTCCCCGTGAAAGTTGAGTATTGACGGAGTTACGAATCCTATCAAGTCCTTACAAACAGATGACAGATCTGTTAGAATGGTTCAGGACTATCCACTCATTCAGACTCCACAGTGAGTCATTCACTGACATCGCTGAGCACCCACTTGGGGCCGGGCTCATGGGCTCTGCCCCTGGAGCGGCATGAGTGTGTAAGCCGGAGTCTAGAGAGACGAGAACCTGTCCAACATCCGTGGAGGCCCAGCTGGAAGGTGGGTTGGCCCTGACTGTGGAGGATCTTGAAACCCAGAAAAAAGGACGAAGACTTACTTCTCTGAGCACTGGGGTGCATGCAGCATTTTTATCAGAATGACCAAACCAAAGTAGTGTTTTAGGAAAATTAATCTGGCAGGTGGCTTGCCAGTAATGGAAGATTTTAGGTAAGCCGGCCCGGGAAAGGCAGGCTAGCCAGGCCAAGATGGCTGGCCCTGACAAGTCTCCCGTCTTGGCCTTGTCACTTGGAGATAAGAAACGGGCTACTGCTGGCGAGTGCTGCCCACGGCCTCCTGGGCTGGTCCCGTGTCTTCTGAGGAAAGGGTTCTGCTATCTGGGAGCCATGACATTTCATAATAAGTATGTCACGGAGGAGGGATAGAGCGCCAGGATTCCTGCACTCCCTTCTCCGCTCTGCCACAGTCAGTTTTGGCTGACTCGCACGCATAGTACTACTTTTTAGGTTCCTGGGAAGTATGAGAGCACCTGGAGTCATTAGCAGTTGTCTCAAGGCTCATGGCCCTTGAAACTCATTTCCTTCTAGGCCTTTCCTAAGAAGCTTGTGGCCTTCTCGACGTGGATTGACCGGACACGCTGGGCCAGGAACACCTGGGCCATGTTAGCCATCTTCATTCTGGTTATGGCAAATGTCGTGGACATGGTGAGTTCCTGCTGTCCTTGTGAAGGGACACTCCCATTAGTGGGAAAAGGCTTCCATACTGGCCAGCATGGGCAGCTTGTCAAACCATTCCTCCACCCGAGACAGGTCTGGAGTGGCATTAGGTTCCTAACTAGATCCTGGCAAAACAGAGGGGGTCTTCTCCCCAGGAAAACTCGGAGACTGACCTGTTCCCAGCTCCTTGTTCTCCAAGTTCAAGAACCAACACCATGCACCAAATCCCACCATGTGCTAGGTGCTTTATATATATTGGCTTACTTAATCTTTTTTTACTTTTCAACCACAGTTTACATTTATCACTTAATCTTGATAACAATCCCAAGAGGGCAGTATTATTAGCTGTAGTTCCATATGAAGAATTACAGCTCAGAAAGGTTAATTCACTTATTCTAAGTCACACAGCCAGTAAGTGACAGAGTCGAGAATTGAAGGTCTAAATCCCAATCCCATTTCCTTCTTACCTCACTGCCCAAGGGGTACAATACTCATAAGCGTTCCGCATATCTTGAGTATCCCCTGCACTGTGGGTAGGGTCAGGTATCTGTCACAACAAGCAGGCAGACCTCTTCCACTAAAGGACCTCTTCTGTTCGGCCTTCATCCATTTGGCCAGACCTTTCTCGAGCTGGGTCACTAGGGAGAGCAGCTTCAGAGCCCAAATGGCTGGAGGCAGGCAAAGTCCTCTTCCTTGCTGTCCTTAGTTTATGGAGAAGCTTTGGCTCCAGTGAGGGGGTGGCCAGATGCTTTCTTGGGGTGGGGGGAGGAAAAGCAGTTGAAAGCCAAAATCTACTGATTCAGAGCCACCAGCCATTTATTGAGCACTGGGTGCTGGGAGCTGTGACTGATGTTCTCTTGTTCATCATCACAGCTCCCACCAATTTGGGGGGTACTATAGATGTTCTTTTAAAAAGTCCTATTTTCAAATATAATATTTTCTTTAACAATCTAAGCACAGGAAAAAACTCAGCATGGAGAGCCCGGCTAGAGTGGCTCAGTTTGTTGAGCGTTGTACTTTGCACTGAAAGGTTGCTGGTTCGATTCCCAGTCAGGACACATGCCTGGGTTGTAGATTCGATTCCCAGTCAGGGCACAGAAGACAAACCAATCAATGTTTCTCTCTCATATATCTTTCTCCCTCTCTCTAAGCATATCCTCTGGTGAGGCTTAAAAAACAAAACAAACTCAGCACGGAGCCTTACTGTGGCAGCAATATAAATGACACAGCCTTAGGGCCAGCTGATCACAAATCCAAGGGAATGGAATTAGGAGCTCCAGAACCTAACATGCCCCTGGGTGGCATGGTGCCCACAGTGCAGGGAAGAAAAGCCCCACGCCCTTTGTCTGTCAGAACACACCTGAAGGCTGGTGCCAGTCCAGGACCACTGTTTAACAAGGTCATGGACACTGTGCAGGATACCTGGAGATCCCGTCTCTAGTGGATGGTGAAAATCCAGGGGGTTCTGAAACTCTTCACATGCTGGAGTCCCATGCTGAGAATTTCCCCAAAGCCAGCCAAGCTCAGTGGGTGAAGGCTACAAAAAGTAGGATAGATTGTGGACGCACTTTCTACTGACCACATCTGCCTAGCAGTGGGACCAGTGACCAACTCCGAAATGGGGGAGCAGAGTGGCTGCCATCTGTGCAGTTGTGAGGTGTGGGTGATGAGCTGGCCCCACGTTCCCTCTTTAACAGTGTGATGTGGACAACAGCGTTACTAGATTTGAAACCTGAAGACTGGACTCCTAGCTCTGGCTTCCCCACTTGCTGATTGCGCTAGTTTGGGCGAGTCCAGCCTGAGTCTCTCTACAATGGTGGCAGTACTAAAAACACTCACGAGTTTTTGTGAACATCCAAAGGGATGATAGTAAAGCTCTTAGTAGGAATTACATTTGTATTCTTCCTTGGTAAATTTCCCCACCCTTCTGGGTGTTTCTGAGGGAGCCGGGGAAGTGGCAGCTGAGCGACACTGCCACAACAGCCTTCTCTGACTATGTCTGCTGTTCCCTTGACCCTGTGTTCTTCCCGGGGCCCTGGCCTCCAGCTGAGCTGCCTGCAATACTACATGGGACCCAACAATGGCACCTCGGGGATGGCGACAGAGGATGGCTGCATGGAGAACCCCAAGTATTACAACTATGTCGCCGTGCTGTCCCTCATCGCCACCATCATGCTGGTGCAGGTCAGCCACATGGTGAAGCTCACCCTCATGCTGCTTGTCACGGGCGCTGTGGCTGTCATCAACCTCTGTGCCTGGCGCCCCATCTTTGATGAATATGACCGCAGACGTTTCCAGGAACACGGGTAAGATGACACTTGTTTAGGAATCTGGATTTTCTTCTTCCAACTCCTTCGTCCCCATTTCCAAGTCATGGCCCTCCACTGAGGTGGCTTTCTATCTCTAGGGAATCGGGGTTCAGGGCTGCTCAGAGACGTGCCTCTGAACGGCAGTGAACCTGGGGCAGATCTTCCCATTCTTGATGAGGGGAGGGTCTGGGCTGCCGCGGTGTTTGCCTGGGCACCAGCCTCTTGTACCCAGATGGGGCCTGAGTGTGCCATTATCTGTCCAACAGCGTTCCTCTGGTCGCCTTAGAGAAGATGCAGATACTCTCCACCCCAGGGCTCAATGGCACTGGCAGGTAAGGTGACTGCTTTCCCTCTGGTCCGCATTTTTGGCTCCTTTCCTCTAGACCAGTGGTTCTCAACCTTCTGGCCCTTTAAATACAGTTCCTCATGTTGTGACCCAACCATAAAATTATTTTCGTTGCTACTTCATGACTGTAATGTTGCTACTGTTATGAATCATAATGTAAATATGTGATATGCAGGATGGTCTTAGGCGACCCCTGTGAAAGGGTCGTTCAACCGCCAAAGGGGTCGCGACCCACGGGTTGAGAACCGCTGCTCTAGACTCTAGAGACAGGGAATACTATGGCCAGAGCCTTACGACCTCAGCCTTGTAAAGGCACATGACCTGGGATGTTGGAGTAGAGCAGTTAGTGTGTGTTTCTCTAGGGGGGCTGGGGCAGAGGTGGAATGGTTTTAGTATGGGCCTGGTCATCCCGAGTCAGAGGGAAGCTTGGAGAGCAGCCACAGTGTGGTCTAGAGGTGGGGTGAGGGGGAGAGGAGTGAAATGGATGGTGCTGCATTTACCGGGCTGGCAGTACAGACAGCAGAAAAAGGAGGAAAAAAGAACACTGCCTTCGACCTAGAAGACTTGGATTCTTAACCTGTCACAGTAATTTGTGGAGCAGCAGGCAGCCCATTTTTCCTGAGTCTCAGTTTCATCTCTTTAAGAGGATAGTGGACAGGAAGCTCTCCAAGGTCTCTTCTAGCTCTCAAGTTTTAGAATGTTGTGACTCAGTGACTTGTCTACAATCAGGTAAGTTTTAACAAAAGATTAGAAGATGGGGAGAACTCTGAAATAGTCCTTCACACAAGAAGAAATCTAAATGGCCACTAATAAATGAAAGGCATTTAAGTAATCAGGAAATCCAAATTAAGACCATAACAAAAGACCAGTTTAGCAAGAATTAAGAAGTCTGATAATACCAAGTACAATGGTAACTCATAGATTCCAGCAATTCCACTGCTACACACATTCCTCAGAGAAATTCATGTACATATATTTGCCCCAGGATGTGTACAAGAATTCATAATAGCCACACAAACATTCAAAACAAATGAAAACGATCCAAATTATATAAATAGTGAATGGTATATAAGTTGTATATTCATGCAACAGAATACTATACAGTAATAAAAATTAATTATATAGCTCCATACAAAAATATATAGTTATAAAAAAATGGCAAAATTGTGCTCCAATGCCATTGCTATGATGGTAGTCTGTCCTTTTTCCAAGCTCCTTCATGCTTACAGTTACTTCTGGGATCAGATGATGCAGTGTTTATTAAATATCTGGGAGCAGCCCTGATGTGAATTCCAAGTGCAGCCAGGAGGCGCCAGGATTGGTTGGCTCTTAGTGATTTAAGAAGGCTTCACTGTTGCCCAATGGGAGGCAGTAAATGTGAAGGTGCTAAAGGAGCCAGGAATTTCTGGGACCCAGGGTGACAGGAAAGAGTGCATCCCCATTGGAATGAAACACCTTTTAGGAGAGCAGCCTGGGTGCCTTCAGTTGAATTACTCTCTGCCCTGCAGGCTGCCCCTGGTGCCTTCTAAGTACACGATGACAGTGATGATCTTCGTCATGATGCTGAGCTTCTACTACTTCTCCCGCCACGTGAGTGCCTGCACACCCTTCTCTCCTATTTTGCTTACAACCCATCAGGGCCTGAGTAGTAGGATCTGAGAACCCAACCTCATAAGGAATGCTGGTTTCCTTTGCCCAATATAGTATGTGACCCTATCAAGCCACCACCTTATTCATTTTCTGGTCTCTTCCTTCTGACCCACTCCAGGATGCTGAAGGAAGCATGGGGAGGGGCATCAGAGCCTGGGTAAAAGCTCTATTCTCTAAGCCAGGGGCTTATGGATCTTTATTCATAAGGCTCTGGGGGGTCATTAACACACTGACCACGGAGCCAGAAGAGAAAGGGAAAGAGCTGATGAAGTTTTTTGTTTGGTTAAAAGGGAAAAAAAGAGCAGGCAGGGAAGTAAGGGACTTATTGCTCCATGTTAGCTCAAGTACCACCCAGTGGTTGGCCAGGGGAAGTACAGCCTTCCCAAGCCACTTTGTGGCCAGCTGGAAATGGGACTCCTCCCTGGACTAGGAGATCCCATAAGGCAGACCTGTAGCTAGTTAGATCCCGGGAGACTCCACACATCCAGAAGGTGCCTTTGATCTCTGCTGTAACCACAGAGGCTGGGCTCCTCACTGCAGCTCTGGGTGGTCTTTTTCTTTCCCTTGCCATGTAGCCATCTTCCTCCCAGTTTTCATCTTCCCATCAAATGGCCAGTTTAGAACATACACCTTGCATGTGTCTGCAGGTAGAAAAACTCGCACGGACACTGTTCTTGTGGAAGATTGAGGTCCATGACCAGAAGGAACGTGTCTACGAGATGCGACGCTGGAATGAGGCCCTGGTCACCAACATGTTGCCCGACCATGTGGCACGCCATTTCCTGGGGTCCAAGAAGAGAGATGAGGTGAGGGGTGACCTTGTGCTATGGCCTGGAGCCAGGAGGTTGTGTGTCTTCTGGCTTTCTGCTAGGGAGCACCTCTGAGCCCAGGCCTGCTACAGACACTGTGTCTGGGGACACACACACCGATGTAAGGCCCTTTTCAGAAGACGAAACTTTGGTTGGAGCCTGCGTTTTTGCCAGCTGTGAGCTCAAATAGAATGCTGCTTCTGCCTCACTTCCCAACTCCCTTTCTCTCAGCTAGGGCTGTACAGGGACTGGAGAAGCTATTTTTTTAATTTAGTCAGTTGTGATGAGAGCTTTCTAACAATTCAGAGTTGGGATAATCTGGCGATGTGTGTGTCCAACAAGCTGAGTGCACCTATCGTTGGTGTGGAAGATGACGTTTCTGTAGCACAGTATTTAACCAGTCTTTGAGCACTTTGGCCCTGCCTCTTTTTAGGAGCTGTATAGCCAGTCTTATGATGAGATTGGAGTCATGTTTGCCTCCCTGCCCAACTTTGCTGACTTCTACACAGAGGAGAGCATCAATAATGGTGGCATTGAGTGTCTGCGCTTCCTCAATGAGATCATCTCAGATTTTGACTCTGTGAGTGTCCATCTTGCTCCCCTTCTCCTGCCACAAGGCCAGCTTGTTTCAAATGATCTCTCAGGACAGGCTGCAGAAGTCCAAGAGAAACTGGAGTTACTCTAGCTCAGGGGTGGGGAACGTCTGGCCTGCAAAATCACTTGGTCTGGCTCTGCCAAGGCATTAGGGGTGAAGTAATTAAACATTTGACCAAATATAGCAGGCTAATTTTTAAGTCGATAAGGTTCCCCACCTCTGCTCTAGTTGGCTACATTTTCTTATATAATCCCCTCCCTGTAATGTATGGGCTTCTATAGCTGCTTGGAGTGTTGGGTCTGAGGGGGTGAGATGGGAGCCTGGGGAATCACCTGCAACTTCACAGGATAAAGACTGGCCAAAACAAGATCCTAAGGTTCCTGATTCCTCCTACCTTCAAATTCAGATTCATTAAACATTTATTAGGTAACATACATCAAGAGAAATGTTTTTACATATATGTTCAGCTCCCTAGGAGATTGGCAATTTTATCCCAATGTTAAGGTTGTAGAAACAGGCTCAGGAAATCAAGAAGTTTGCCTAGGATCACATGGCAGATAAGAGGCAGAACAAAGCTTTTATAGAAAAGCATCTCTTGGATGTTTTGTGGGGGAATTGCAAACAGGCAAACCTGTCATTTAGTTGGCTCATGAATCCCAATTGACTGCTGACAGTTTTCTCTTCCTTAATACTGGTCTTAGCTTCTAGACAATCCCAAATTCCGGGTCATCACCAAGATCAAAACCATTGGCAGTACCTATATGGCAGCTTCCGGAGTCACCCCAGATGTCAACACCAACGGCTTTACCAGCTCCAGCAAGGTACCTAACCACCTCAATGGCTAGAGAGGAGATAGGGCTCTGCCTCCTGAGGCAAGAGGCAGCCCACACTTAGCACATGGGAAACCAGGAGTTACAAGAGCAACTAACATTAAGCACTGTTGTACAAAGGCACTTTGCACCAGTACAGACACACACCACTAGGACCGAGCCAATTTAAAACTGGGTTTACTGAGAAAGTGTAATGAGCAGAAATAACAGCACACCCACAGCAGTCCACTACTGTTCCCCGGCTTAAGTCAGGCATAAGATGCTTTGTGGAACTGTGGCTGTACTCCCTTCTATACTTTCATAAGCGCTGGGCAACAGAACCATCTACACAATTATGGAACCATGAAAACATCCACATCGGGGAATGGTTTTGTTAAGTTAAAGCAGACCTGTGAAGCCAGCTCGATTTAGGTACCAGAGGTGAGAAAAGCTGTTGGGGCCCTCGTCTCAAGGGCTGTTCTTAAAACATCACAACCGCCATCTCCTTATTATGGATGAGGTTAAAGAAACACGCCTAACCCTCAAGTGCTTATAATCTAGTTTAGGAATTAAAACAAGGACAACTATCCCAAGTTTAAGACCAGGTTCGGACTAGGTGAAGAGACGTGACTCCTAAGCAGGTACACAGCAGACGGGTTGGGTACAATTTGTCCTCCCCACCACCATTGCCCAGTCTCTGTCACAGTGACAGAGGGTCCCGACTCCTTTGTGAGAAAAACTGAAGAACAGGCCTTTATCAACCAGGTGAAGGGACTGACCTCCAGAATGTTAAGAAGGGGTGGCATAATCTGCTGCGGGTGTGGCCCAGAATGGCTCCTGATGCTTTCACTGCTGCTCCCTGGCACAGGAGGAAAAGTCAGACAAGGAGCGCTGGCAGCACCTGGCTGATCTGGCTGACTTTGCACTAGCCATGAAGGATACGCTTACAAACATCAACAACCAGTCCTTCAACAACTTCATGCTGCGCATAGGTAAGGCTCTAGCTCCCTTCTGACACAGGGGAGTCAGCAATCACCAAGGAGGAGAGGCTTAGAGAGATCTGACGCATTTAGACGGGGTAGGGTCCCATACTCAGAGCTGGAAGGACCTTTAGTCCAGGCTCTTCTAGATGACCAGGCTGAAACCTGACCGATGGCCAGCCATCCCTGTCCCACAGTGTTTACAATGATAGTTTCCTTCTCAATCTGGCTATGCCTATTGAGGGGTTTATTCACTTCAGTCCAGTCTGTTAAGAATTAGTCATCTGTTACCCACTATGGCAGCGGTTCTCAACCCCTTTGGCGGTTGAACGACCCTTTCACAGGGGTCGCCTAAGACCAGATATTTACATTACAATTAATAACAGCAGATCAGATATTTACATTATGATTCATAACAGTAGCAACATTACAATTATGAAGTAGCAACGAAAATAATTTTATGGTTGGGTCACAACATGAGGAACTGTATTTAAAGGGCCAGAAGGTTGAGAACCACTGCCTTATGGGAATGTGGAGACAATTGGGGGCTCACTCCTGATGAAATCACAGGAGACTTAAAGTGCCAGGTCCATGTTAGAGAGTCCGTGTTAGAGAGAAACTGGCAACTTCCGTACTGTTAATCAGCATATTGGGGGGGCTAACAGTTTGCCAAGTACCTGGTGAAGGCAGGGTAAATATGAATAGCTTTGTGGTAGAGGTCAGGTGGTGAACTATGTGAGAGAACCTAGTAGCTTCTGAGAGGTGTAGCTATGCTGAACTTTATGCCTCTACCGTAGGCATGAACAAAGGAGGGGTCCTGGCTGGGGTCATTGGAGCCCGGAAACCACACTACGACATCTGGGGCAATACAGTCAACGTCGCCAGCAGGATGGAGTCCACAGGGGTCATGGGTAACATTCAGGTCTGTCCATGTGCTCAGATGCAGGGAATAGTGTGTTCTGCCATGCACTGTCTCCTCATTGGCCTAAACATGACATCGGCAGTGCTGGGAGAGCAAAGGCAAGAGTGGGGAAAGATGCCTCCAGGGAAGCAGAAGGGAGAAGAGACACTGACCCCGTTTGCAAAACTTAGGAATAAGTTCTGGGTAATAATATCCTGGTCTGTGTCCCCTGGGCCTGGCAAGAAAGTTCCACAAAAGGGGCAAAGGGAACAAGAGCAGAGGGTAAAAGTTCCCCAACAGTGGTGCCGTCACCTAGGCATCTGAGGAGAGAGCACTAGACTCTCTTCGGGCGGAGGGAGGACCCTTGGCAAAGCGCACCTGTGTTCTGGGGCATGGAGTACAAGGAGTGACTGGGACCTGTGGGTCACATGGAGATCTCATCTGGGTAGCCTCGGTGTAGGCTCACTGTCTAACCCCAAGCTCTGTGCTTCCTCTACAGGTGGTAGAAGAAACACAAGCCATCCTTCGAGAGTACGGCTTTCGCTTTGTGAGGCGGGGGCCCATCTTTGTGAAAGGGAAGGGGGAGCTGCTAACCTTTTTCTTGAAGGGGCGTGATAAGCCAGCCGCCTTCCCGAATGGCTCCTCTGTGACCCTGCCCCACCAGGTGGTAGACAACTCCTGAATGGCTGCTAGCCCCAGGGAGGATGTATTTTTTGGAATCAAAGACCTTGGGAAAGGACAAATGACTAAGTCCCAACAGTCCCAAATTGCTGAAGTGCACACTCACATAGACTTTAGATTTAAAAATCTCCTCAAGCCTTCATTTCGTGAGCTCTGAGGGTGGCCATACTATTTATTCCTCAGTGTGCCTGTAGCTCCCCCAGAGTAAGGGTCTTAGGCATAGCACTGGACCAGCCCTTCTTCCCCCACAGAGGCCATGGCCACTGTGAGCAGGATGTATCAGAGGCGGGAGCTCAGCTGGAGGGGAAGCTGTGGCAGGGCCACTATGCTGGTGAATGTCTGCTCCCAGCTATAACTTGAAAGCTGTGCTTTTCATTCTGAAGAGAGCACCAGCTGGAGACCTGTCTCTGTATGATCTGAGTTAGGTCAAAGGGCCCTGTCCTGATAATCTTGAAAGGTTCTTCTGGAACCCCTGTCACCTTAGTCATGGGAGAAGAAAGTGCAATATTTCCTTTTACCTGGTGGGAGGGAAAGGGAATTTATTTCTGAAAGAAAAATATATCAACAGATCTACATTTATATTTTTAACTTTCTGTTAAAAAACACTTTCCGATATTGCCTTGCCTTTTGAGCTCTTGCTACGGTCGCCTTTGCTACTGCTTTAAAAGAGAATTTACAGGTATTGATAAAGAATAAGACTGTTTTATTAAAAGTTTTCTTCAACTTGAATGTGATCATTGTGAAAATCCTGTTAATACCTCTCCTCAGAGAAGTGCTTTTTGCTAACTACCTTCCTGGAAGGCACAAGAGCTTGAACTAAGACATCTCTTACTTTTTAGGTGCTTTCTTCTAAATGGTGGTCCTAACTGACGTACCACTGCGTGCTCCTCCCAGAGTTAGCTGGTGCTCCCACACCTGTGCGGTTACTTCCTGGTCACCAGGTCTAGGAAGTGACCATTTTAGAGTGAGTGGGGCTTGGGTAGTAATGACGCCTATTTGTGACTGGCCAAAGCGGGACAGGACCTTAAATGGCAGGACCTGGCCCTACACATACTCCCTTAAACCAAAGGAAGTGCCAGCAGATCCAAGGCCCTGGTTATCAGACCAGGAGATGGAAGGAAAGTCTGCTTCCCCTTATGAGCAGACTTCTGACCATGCTTCTACCCGGATGTTTTAGGAAACAAAATGAGACATAGCACCCTGATTACTTTATCCATAGTACTTTCTCACACCACCTTCTTCAAAAGCAGCGGTCTAGAATATGCTGCTCCAAACCAAAGACTAAATAAGACTCATTTCATATGAACAGAATGTTCTAAGAACTTCCTTTTCAAATGTCTCAATTAGGAAAATGAGATGGAATTAAAGCTCTTAGAAAAGTTAGAAATACTCTGGTTGAATAGTATATACTCCTCTTTCACAAAATGCCTTCAATTGCCCTACAACCCAGTCTGATTTTCAACTAAAACGTATGGACAAATCACTATCTCTAAGAACAGATGGTCTTGAGCCTTTAACAACTGACCAGGCAATTGTGGAGAATTGTCCAAAATTGCCAATGTCTAGACTCAAACTTGCACCTTCAGCATCCTGAAGAGGTGGGTATCTGTCTCCATTGTAAGGAGTCTGAGCCTTTCAATAGTTTTCAGTCCCATGACCTTGCCTGGGACTGTGTCCAGTACTTGTTTACTCACTTTTGATGTGTTCTCAATGCAAAGAATATTCTAGTAGAGCAGGTTCATATCCAGCTTTTCTTCTCTTCTTGCAAATGAAGCAAACACTTGATGAAGGGGCTTTGTACAGAACAGGTTTTCATGGGAAGCTCGCTGTTCTTCCCAGGAGGTGGACAATGCATCCGTTCCTAAAAGGACAGCTTCTATCAATCTCACCAGTGCACTTGGGAGAATCAGAACCTGGGTCGTCACTGATAGTCTGGACCTAGGTAACTTATTTTTTGGTCTGGAGCCGAGAGGCTGGCTCTAATTACACCAATGCCAATTTTGAGATGGGGAACTTAGAAGGGAAACGAAAACCTATGGTGCCCTGACTGGTGTGGCTCAGCTGGTTGAAGCATCGTCCCGTACACTGAAAGGCTGCAGGTTCGATTCCCGGTGGGGTCACATGTGGAAGGTATATTGTTCTCTTTCCCATCAATGTTCCCCTCTCTCTAAAATTAATAAGCATGTCCTTGGGTGAAGATTAAAAAAATACCTATGGTATAAAACCTGTGGCAGCTTCGAAATTCTTGCCTCCTAAAACATTTTCTTATTTTTCATTACTGCCCATGTACATTACTATGGTACGCTTTACTGAAACAAGGTCAGACATACACATGCACAAAAATCTCAGCCAGTTCTGAAAAAAAAACAAAACACCCCATTTACTGAATAGTCTCTAGAAAGCTCAATGCATAATGACTTTTCATGTCCATTTGGCTCTCTGCACCACTCTGGCCCTATGACTCAGCCTCATTAGCTGTCTCTTCAAGAGCAGTCTTCAATGAAAACAAATTATAAGCTGAAAGAACACTAGCTGATTTGGAAGGAGCAAAGTAGGAGGGAAAATGATGATGATTATGTTTATTACTTACAAAGAGAAGAGGAAAAATTGGTAGAAACAAACAAAATAGTCTTCACATTTTTCTGCTTTATGGTATATAAACAGAAGAAAGTGTCTCAAGAGGTCCAACTCATGTATTCTGCCTATTTCACCCTGTTTCACTCAACTTGAGTAACCCAGAGCTTGTTATATAATTTCTCCACTGAGGCACCCTTCCTCTTACCTTGATAAGTAACAGTGACGTCAGTTGGAAGGGTTCTTGTGATGTCCTTATATAGCAGTCTAGCACAAAATGGGAAGGACTGGCCACTCGGCTCCGCTTTGTAAGTAAATGATAGCAGGTTGCACAGTGAGTTTCTCTGCAAGGGCCCAGCCAGAAAGGCTGCAAAGTCACTCTAATGGAGGCAGGGATCAAAACAGACACAAAGTATAGACAATTACAGCTCTAAAAGCAGTGAGTGGCTGTGACACTTCAAACACTGACTACCAAAAATAGGGCCCCGTTAATTAGATTTCAGATAAATAAAGGACAGAGAAAGGCCTGTAAAAAGGACTAATGATAGAGATTATAGGATAACTAAGAGTCAGTGGAAGCCTAGGAAGACCTGCAGGAGCACTTAAGTAAATGGCCAGAAGCGGGGGATACTATTTCTGCCAAGAATTTCATTGACATCATATATAGGGCTAAGATGCTTTCTGTCTGCATATACATATCAGTTTATCAAATGACAACCAGGAGCTTCAGTGTCATTCCAAATGCATGGTGAGGGAAATACTAAGTTTACAAGGGTCACTTATTCCCTATTGCATTCATTCTTGCCTGTTTATTTGTTTTTTACCCCAACCCCAGGCTCAATTGCAATCCTAAGAAAGTAGGGAGGAGTTCAGGCAAAGATAGACAGTATTCCTCTGATATTTCAGAAAACATTATTCTGCTTTGCATTTATACTCAATTCAGCAAGGCACTTGGCACATAGTAAGTACTCTATCAATCCCTGTTGAATTAACAGTATAGCAACTGTACTCTACTATTTTGTGAGGGGAAGAAAGGGTCAAATATAGAAGTTTGAAGATCACTACTGAGGCGTGAATAACTCCTTAACCAGTATTCATGCTTCAACATCATCTAGAGTTTCAACAGGTAAGAGAGTAGGAAATAGCTTGTATATAAATAATAAACCAAGTATTAGAAGGATAATAGTCAAACTTCTAACTCAGTTATGAAACATTAAAAAAAAACTTGACTCTTTTTTGTCTCCTTTAAGTCTAACTTGGGCTCACCAAATGCCATATAAGATTCCAGACAGATACCTGAAGTCGATCTGCTTGATACTTCCTTCCAGAGTAAGCATTTAGGTATTCGCAGAGACTGAACAGGAAGTGCTGAATATTACTCTGTAGGTATTTTGCAGCTATCTCCTCTAGGGGAATGAAGACTGGAATCGAATGGTGATGTATCCGAAGTGGTTTCTGTATGACAAGATCCACAAAATAGGAATCCAGCAGGTTCCCCTCAAAAGCAGTGCTGATGGAAACACAGACTCCTCTGCTGGTCAGTTTCCCACTGAGCCCTGAGGCAAACAAGACAACACACCTCAACAGATGTCAGGCAAAGTCAGTACCTTACTCACCTGTTCATACCAGCTGCTCCAGCACCACCTAGCACCACACGTATAGTGTGCACTCAAGTGTTTGTTGAATGAATGACTATCATAGACTCTCTCCCCTCATTAACTCTCACTTTGAGTTAAAACCATGGGATGGTGGGAAAAAGAAAAATCCTAAATAGCAATTATTGAGGAAGAGATTTTGAAAATTTCAATTTACCTATTCTCTTTTATTCTGAGTGTTAAATAATTTATGGTAGTACCCAGTTCTCCCCACAATCCTCTTGTGACATAGATAATGAGACTAAACCCCCATATTAATGGTGAAACAGAGACTTCAGGGGCTCAAACTATTTGACCAGTGGCATAAGGCAAGCCAGAAGTAAAGAAAGTTCTAGTACAGGATCTGGCACACACTGAACAGCTAAAATGAATAGTTGAAACCAGCTACTAATCAATCTGCTGCACAAAGAGGCCAATATTGTAGGTAAAGATGCCTACAAACACTATGCCAGTTTTTTGTGTATATTGAGGGGGCAAAACCAATGCTCAAGGAGTAAGTCCAAGACTAATAATACAACTAGCAAACTAACTCAGTAGAGACAAGAGACCCAGACTGAAACAGGTTAGAAAAAGGTATACCTGTAAAACGATATGCTTGCAGAATGGATTTCACATTTTCTCGTTTTCTTTCCAAAACTTCTTGCTCACTGACCTCAAATGTTTGGTCAGGTTCTACACTGGCTTCTACCTGAAAGATACGCAGCAAATCAGATGGTACAAAGGGGCATAACACAAAGTCTCTGCTTGCATCGAACTGGAATAAAGCTGAATAGAATGTGTATTACACAATGAATGAAGAATGCTACAGTGGTCTACCAGTGCTATGAATTCATAGTAGAGGAAGAATCTCATGGGTCACAGTGCTAGGATCGTGCTGGCCTAAAGAGTACTGTGAGAGGCTAAAGAAAAGGGTGTGAAGAAAAGTCTAGTGTGAACACAGGGTGAGTTGCAAAGAGGCAAAGCTGGAAAGCTGGTTTGGATCAGCAAGCTTTCAAGTGGCAGGATAAGAAATCCTGACTCTAGGATGTACACTTAGAGCAATGGCCCAATAGATAGTCTCAGACTGGCGCTCCCTCTGAGGACTACATAGCAGGTTCCCCTCAAAAGCAGTTCTAAAACTAAGCAAGCAAGCATACAAGCAAATAAACAAAATGGTCTGAAGGCATTACAGAACCACCAAATAGCCAGACTGAAGGTTAAAGATACATGCTCTGAGCTTAGCTGGGCTTTCCCTGCAGCTCCCCCCTCGGAGCATTTGATTTGTATCACAAGGCATATGAGTCAAATAGAAAGCTATAGGCCAGACTGTGTAGCAGTCTCACTAAGACAAAAAATGAGGCCAAAGTTACCAAAGCAGCCTTTCTATGGGCCAAGATCCCATCAAGAAGGGAACCCAACATTCTGCAGGCAATGTACCCTCCAGGCAAAGAGCGGTAAGCATAAAATTAGATTCCTAAATCAAACTTCATTAAAACAAAGGCTCATCACGAGACTCCATCAGAGAATGAAAAGGCAAGCTACAATGTAAGAGAAGATTTGTAAAACATATACCAAACAAAGAATTCATATCCAAAATATGTAAAGAATTCTACAATTTAAAGAGGTAGACAACCCAATAAAATTTTTGCAAAAGCCTTGAAAAGCATACTTTACAAAAGAAGACTGTGAAGTGTCTAATACAGGTACTTAACATCATTACTTATTAGGCAAATGCAAATTAATCCACAATGAGATACTATTATACTCCCACCAGAATGTCCAATTTTTAAAACCAACAGTATCAACTATAGATAAAGATGCAAAACACTGGAAAGCTTATACACTATTGCTGGGAATGTAAAACTGGTGCAATCACTTTCAAAAGCTGTTTGGCAGTACTTACTAAAGCTAATATGCATACCCGTGACCCAGCAATTCTACCAAATTCATACCTAATAGAAAAGTGTATATTTTTAGACCAAAACACAGAAACAAGGATATTCATAGCAGCATTCTTTTTAAGTGTCACCTGAGAATGTGTGTGTGTGTGTTTTAATTGATTTTAGAGAGAAGAATGGAGAGGGGGAGAGAGAAACATTAATGCAAGAAACATCCATGGAGCCCTGACTGGTTTGGCTCAGTGGATAGAGCGTCGGCCTGCGGACTGAAAGGTCCCAGGTTCGATTCCAGTCAAGGGCATGCACCTTGGTTGCGGGCCCAACGCCGGTGGGTGGTGTGCAGGAGGCAGCTGGTCGATGTTTCTCTCTCATCGATGTTTCTAACTCTCTATCCTTCTCCCTTCCTCTCTGTAAAAAATCAATAAAATATATATGTATAAAAAATAAAAATAAATCCATGGATTGCTTCCAGTACACGCCCCAATTGGGGATCAAACCCAGAACCTGATCAAGAACCAAACCTGTAATCCTTTGGTGCACCGGATGCTCCAACCAATCGAGCCACACTGGTCAGGGCAGCAGCATTATTCTTAATAGACCCAAAGTGAAACAGCCCCAATAACCCAAATGTCATCAACAGTACAATAGCTAAATTAATTGTGGAATATTCATATTACTATACAGCAATAAAAAAAGAATGACCATTACATGCAACAACATGAATCTCACAGACATAATATTCAGCTAAAGAAGCCAGACATGAATTTTCTAATTTTAACAATTATATGAAGTTCAAAAACAGGTAAAACCATGTGATGACAGAAATCAGAACAGTGGTTACCTTGAGGGAAATGACTAGGATACAAGAGGGAGACTTAGGGCACTGATAATATTCTCTGCTTTGATCTGTGTGGTACAGGGTGTGTTCACTTTGTAAAAGGTTCTGCAGATTTGTGCTCTTTATATATATTTACAGATATATTTTACTTTAATAAAAAAGTGAAGGGAGGGAGGGAGAGAGAGAAGCGAGTAAAGAGGGCAATGGAAGAGAGGCGGGAAGGTGAGAAAAAGAAGGCTGCCCATAACTATGGGCAATGAATGGTTAGTGAAGGTTTTTGAGCAAGGAAACGACTGTTTTATGAAAGCATTTTCTTGGCTGTGTAGGATTTACTGGAGGAGTAAAATACTAGAGAAGAGAACCAACTAGCAGACTATTGTGACAATCCCAGCATCCAAATCACCTGATACATATTTATAGCAGATGTGGATAATACTCGAGTTATTGCAATAGAGTGGAGAAGGAAGAGGAGGAAGCACAAGGACTACCTAAAAGAAAATTTGCGAGCTCTTGCTGGCTGGACCTGGGCTAGATAGAAAACTGAAAAGAGGAAAGAGTCAATGTTTACTGTGAGGCTTCAAGTCTGGGCAACAGAAAAATGGCACTAATGACACGGTACCAATGATTCAAGTCAGGCTGAGCCTGGGCAACAGGTTCATGTCGGAGGGCAGGTTTTAGAACCTGCGAGGCCATCAGTAATGCCTGAGAATTGTTAGTTGATGTTGATATCAGCTGAGACCTACAGGTTTGATGAGGGATCAAGGACTGAAATCAATCCAGTAAGATCACAGGTAAATCACATTATACAGATTTTCGAATTCCCAGGTCATGCTCTTTACACACCAGGGAAGCCTGCCAACAATCACCCTCCTACTCACTCCGGCCTGACGCCGGTTCACTTCCGCCCTCAGTTTATCTCGCAGACTCCTCAGGTTACGAATCTTGTTTCCAAGAGCGCTCTCCGCTCCCTGTGGCTCTTCGAATTTTTTACGGGATTCAGCCTCTAGTCTTTCCAAGTGAGCGAGCACACCTGAAGAAAGCAGAGAGAATTTCTCAAGAAGCCAAGGATTTCCAATTCCGGCAGCAGAAAGCATTGCAGGGAATAAAGGATGACACCCCCCTCTTTTTTCAGAACTTTGTGGCTAGTTAATTGTTAGACATTGGCCCCAACTGATAAAACCAGAAGAACTGACAACAGAAACCAAAGATCGGCAGCCTCTTAGCCTGAACACCGATGTACAAGCAAGCAGTCCTTAACCAGGACAACGTCCAAAAAAGAATATTCTCTGAATATAGCTAATCTCAGCTATCCGTGGTGATAATAACCCAGCGGAAAACAGTCACCAAATTCACTGGCTCTCTCAGAAACTGTTTTTCAAAATGTAGAATTGTTTTCTTAAATTGGTTTTTATGCATGTTTCCCCAAAGTGCTAAAGCATAATTCTTTGAAGCTCTAAAAAATATTAGTACAGGACTATAACAGCACAAACTAAGAGAACGGTCCACAAATATTAGAGAGGAAAACACGCTCCCTGCTGGACAGAAACTCAGAGGCAAATGTCAGTTCCCTAGAGATGGACTAAGGACCAACACCAGCGCACCTGGCTGTATGGTGCGTCCTTTACTGCCCTTCCCAGTACAGTGTTGGTTGTGTGTGTGTGTGAAAGCAACAATCCCACACCAGTGAGCAGATTCTGACTTGCTTCATGGCAGCGCTCTAGAACTGAACCTGGAATATCTCTGGGGGATGCCTGCACCGTAAAGGTCGTATTTTCATAATCAACTCCAATAAAGCATCTGCTGAACTCTTCCTACGTATTAACACACGTGTGCTAGGTTATTTACTTGCAAAACATAAAGAATCAAAGCATTTATTGAATATGTCATATATATATACACATATGTATATATATGTATATGTGTGTGTGTGTTAAATGCTTTCCGTGAGAAACCGGAAAAGAATTGTTTATCTAATTCCCACAACACTACCACAATGCTGCTATTCACCTCCATTTTCCCGGTAAAAAACGGAAGCAGAGAAAGGGAAAATAACCTGCCCAAGGCCACAGCGTTTGCAGCGGCGGGGCCGGGACTCCAACCCAGCTCTCACCGATGCCAACGCCCCCGCCTGGCACTGCCCCTCCCACGGAGTCATGCATAAAGGGCCCCGAAATCCTGGGAAGAGAGAGGGAGACCTCGCCGGCTAGAACTGTAGCCCTGGAAAGAGACACAGCACATGATGAATGCAAACGACCGGTGTAAAAAGGGGCCGGAGCGTAGAAACATGTGAACACTTGGGTTGCGGGAAACGAGTTAAGTCGGCTCGCGTGAATTGCGCGTACTCCGCGGGAGCCGTCTTAAACTCGGTTCATATAGATTTGCGGTGGAGTGCGGGAAACGTGTAAACTCGGGCCGATTGTAACTGCGTATTACCAAATATTTCATTTCAATCGAACCCATACTTCAAAAGATATAGGCATTTTAACGCGCCATCTTATATTTTGGCGGGAAATTCACCCGCAACCCAAGTGTGAAGTTAATTGTGCCCTGATGATCTAGCCGCTGGTCCCTCTGACCGGCAATAAGGCGAGTCCCACCTTTGTGCAGGTGGGGGTTTTGCCTTCAAATTGTAAAAACCACGAAACCTGTGCGGCGCAAGGGGGGTGTGCGTGCCCAGTGCCTTCCACTGTCCCGCTCCCCAACGGGGCAGGCACCACAGAGAGGAGAGGAGAGGAGGAGGGGGGGGCGGTGGTGGTGGTCATCTCTGGGCAGCATCCGCGAAGGGATAGAGACAGCCGCTAGAATACCTGCCCCGGGCCCGCCCTCCGGACTGGAAGTGTTCGCCAGTTCCATCCGCTCAGGTTTCCAAATCCACCAGCCTTCCCGGGAAGCGGTCCAGGCGCCGGCAGCAAGAACCTCGATTTCCGCGCCGACACAAGAAAAAATGGCAAGGAAGTCACATCTAGCCACCTCCAGACAAACCTAGACGGTAGAGCAACACCCCAGGGTCACTGCCAGGACTCCCCTTCCCCGCCCCGCCCCCGGGCGCCAGCAGCCCGCGTCCACCGCCAGCTCGCCGGCCCTGAGCGCTCCCGGGGGCACAGGCCCTCCGGCTCGGCGGGTTCGCCTTCCACACGCCAGGAGCTGCGAGGGGCCATGTAGCCTTCCACCCAGCCATCGTCCCGAACCTCATTTCCCCTCACCTCCTTCCTTACCTCCTCTCCTCGGGCTCACGCAGCCCGGGGACAAGTTCCCGCCATCCTCGCCTTCAAAAGCCAGCCACTCGGACCCAGCATGCTTTGCGCAGCCTCCGTACAAAAACATGGCCGCGCTCAGGGCCCCTCCCTGATCCCAGCATGCACCGCGCACTAGGCCAGGCCTTCCTGCTGGGCAGGAATATGGCGGCACCCAGCGCGGAGCCGCAGGTCTTGGTACAGTATTTGGTGTTACGAAAGGATCTCTCGCAGGCTCCATTCTCCTGGCCCGCGGGCGCACTGGTAGCGCAGGCTTGCCACGCAGCCACCGCGACCTTGCACGTTCACCGCGACCACCCGCACACTGTGGCCTACCTCCGGGAGCTGGGGCGCATGCGCAAGGTGGTCCTTGAGGTGAGGCGGAGGGGGGAGGGGCGCTGAGTGAGTCGAGACCGGAAGTGGGTGTGGCCTTGAGTCCGTGTTGGGGGACGGTGTTAGTGGGAGGAGTCTTTAGCATCTAAGATTTGGGGACGGTTTAGGGGTCACTTGAGCTAGTAACTCAGAGCAGCGGTTCTCAACCTGGGGGTCGAACGACCCTTTCACAGGGGTCGCCTAAGACCATCGCAAAACATATATAATTACATATTGTTTTTGTGATTAATCACTGTGCTTTATGTTCAATTTGTAACAATGAAAATACATCCTGCATATCAGATATTTACATGATGATTCATAACAGTAGCAACATTACAGTTATGAAGTAGCAACGAAAATAATTTTATGGTTGGGGGTCACCACAACATGAGGAACTGTATTAAAGGGTCGAGGCATTAGGAAGGTTGAGAACCACTGACTCAGAGAGTCTTCCCTTGGCTGGGGAGGGCCTGACAGTGAAAAGGGGACATGGGGTCCGTTATTAAATGGGCTCTCACCCCTCCGGTCTCACCTGCGGCCGTCTTAGTGATACCTGTGCGAGAGGAGGCTGCAGAGACCCGCCTTTTAATGCCGCTGCCTGGATGAAATTGTTACCATCCCTTCCCGCACAACCGACCAGGATAAGGACTCGGGATTTATTGCCAGTGAAACAGAAGCGTTGACCTGGACATGACGCCAAATTACTTGAAAATAAAGGTGAACCCTAGTGTACATTGAACCCAGCGTCACAAACGCCAGGGGTGTAACATAGCGGGAAGGCCCTTTTTGCAGATGGCCAAACAGATCTTACCCTTCCTTACCCTTTGTAACTTCTGCTGAAGAGCTGGCTGAAGGGTTAGGGATAGCTATTTGGGCACCAGCCACAAGAGGACTAGAAAATGTATAGAGCAGTGGTTCTCAACCCTCTGGCCCTTTAAATACAGTTCCTCATGTTGTGACCCAACCATAAAATTATTTTCGTTGCTACTTCATAACTGTAATGTTGCTACTGTTATGAATCGTCATGTAAATATCTGATATGCAGGATGGTCTTAGGCGACCCCTGTGAAAGGGTCGTTCGACCGCCAAAGGGGTCGCGACCCACAGGTTGAGAACCGCTGGTATAGAGCATCATTACTGACAGTGCATGCAGCATTTCAAGAAGGAAGAGAAAAATCTCCATTTTCCAAACAGAAATACTAAGCCTCTCCCTTTCTCCCCAGCCCCCAGGCAATTTATCTAATGTCCTACAGAGAGTGAATGAAAAATGGAGCAATGAAGCTCTTACTTCTGGAGACATGCTCCACAGCTCCTTTGGGAGATCCGTTCCTCCACTTTCAGTTCAGGGGAGCCTCCTCCCCCCCATATTTCTTCCCGTTGACTTGACACTCCCTAAATGGGCTATTCCATCCATGTTCTACGTTCTGCTTCTTGTAGGCCCCAGATGAGGCCACCCTGAAGGAGCTGGCTGGGACACTGCAGGAGAAGAACATCGACCACATGCTATGGCTGGAGCAGCCAGAGAATGTCGCCACTTGCATTGCACTCCGTCCCTACCCCAAGGAAGAAGTGAATCAGTACTTGAAGAAGTTCCGATTGTTCAAGTGACTGATGTTATGAATTGCTTTCATACATTTGAGTGTCAGCTGGGTCCAGAAACTGCATGCCATCCATTCCTAAGCCTCATGTACGCCTTTCAATGGCAACTTGCTCTTCCCTGTAATTTATGACACTTTCTGGAGGGTTAAACACATGTTCACATTAAAGTTGTCATTAGTAAGTACTTTCTCTTATTTTTCGTAAGTTCAGAGGGGGAAAGTAGGTGAACAGCAATGTTATTTATGGGTCATTGCTCAAATAGAAGATTTGGTTAGACTCATACAAGGGTCAAGAAAATGCCTTTCCATTTTTGTTAGGAATAATAGAGTTCTTCCACTATATCTGGCTTTGCATACCAAGTTTACCAAAAAAATGTATTTTTCAATAGAGCAAAAATTGTGCTGCAAGCCGTGGAATAGGTGATAAATCTTTGACAAGAATCTCCTCTGAATTGTAAGTTTCTTATATGTAAAAACGTTTTAAAGTTAACTATGTCCAGCCCTGGCCGGTTTGGCTCAGTGGATAGTCAGCCTGTGGACCAGAGAGTCCCAGGTTCGATTCCAGTTACGGGCATGTATCTTGGTTACAAGCTCCTCCCTGGCCCAGGCCCTGGTTGGGGCTCATGCAGAAGGCAACCAATCGATATGTTTCTCTCACATCGATATTGCTCTGTCTTTCCCTCGCTCTAAAAATCAGTGGGAAAATATTCTCAGGTGAGGATAAAAAAAAAAAATTAACTGTGTCCATATGTGCTAGTCAAGCTTTATGATGCAGGTGGTCTTGTCTCAAGTTTACAGCTTCAGAAAAGCTTTGACTTGCCCAAGATCAAAGTCAGTGTTTTGTCAGTCCAGTCTTCCCTTAACCTCTCATAGTGGGTTACCTATTTGGTTACCATCTAGATACTAGAAGGTGGTTATAAGTAGTTCAAGCACTGGGAAGCTGTGTCTTCCATTTTATGTTGGTTAATTGACATTCTGGATTATGAACCATCCTCCTGTGACTGTGAGTTGTATGTCTCAATACCCAAGGCCCAATGATCACTGGATGAGTTTCTGACCTTATAAAGTTGAGGACCAGTGTCTAGGTCTTTGCTTCTCATGGGGCTGACAGAAAGTAGAGGGCTTCTCTAGAAGTGGTTGTTAAAAGCACATTTTAGTGCTGTTTAATCAATATACATCTTCTGCGCAGATTCTGAGATTCCTTCCTTAGGGTGTGTACTGTGCTACCTGGTTGAGAATCTTGGCAATAGTGAACCATTGTTACTGATGCAAAGGTGTGTGGAAAAATGGGTGAGAACCACTGCCCTTGGCTACCATTGCCTCACAAGTTTTAGCTGTCCTCCAATGTCAAGTTAGCACAGAAGAGGGGAATAAGATCTAAGTGTGGGGACCAGTAAAGACTTCTTGGAAAGGGCATCTAAATTGAAGCCTTGAAGGACAAGCAGGAAGGGGAAAGAAGTATTACAAACTATGGGAGAAAATGATGTGGACATGAAAGTGAGAACACAGTAAATTTAAGAATAAAGATCATTTGTTTAGAGTATGGAAAGTTATGATACTTAAAAGGTAGAGTTATTTCAGGTCAACTATAGGCAAGATAAAGTCACTAATAGATTCTGAAGGTTGTGTTTAGAAAGATTTCTCTGACGACTGTGACGGGTGAATGTAAGAAGCACAAAAGTGGTTCCTATAATCATTCAAAGAAAGATAAGTCCTGAATTTGGTCTGTGATTAACAGGGTTAGAAAGAGGATAGCATGAGGCACTACAAGGGATAATTTTCCGCAATTTGGAGAGATGAATGGGAGTGAGTTGTTGAGAATGATGATGCAATTAATGCAGATAAGAGACACCGTAGCTTATTTGTGGGGAAGTTATTTGGTTTCGGACTTAGGTTTGAGGTGCTGGGGAGTGGGGATCCTCCCATGTGGTAATGTTCACCAGTTGGAAAATCAAGACCAGATTTTGAGAGAGGTCTTGGCTAGAAGAGTAGACTTAAGATGCATATGAATGTAAGTGGTACTGAGTTTAAGAGAAAAGAAGGGAGAGTGCAAGGAGTCACTTCAGAACTATTACCCTTGTGCAAATTTAAAACATGAAAAAAAATCAGTACTTTAGCAAAACCAAAGTTAGTGTCCAATTTACTTTCAAAATGGAAACCCCACCGAACCTCTAAGGAACTTGAGTTCCAGAGAACAATTTTTAACTCATTAGTCTTTAAAAAATTTCTTTTTAAAAATAGGTTTTTTAAAAAAATAGGTTTTTAAAAAAATTGATTTCTTTTAGGGAGAAGGAGAGAGGAACATTGATGTGAGAGAAACATCAATCTGTTCCTTCCATATGCAACCTAACTGGGGATGGAACCCAAAACTTGGGCATGTGCCCTAACCAGGAATCGAACCAGTGACCTTTCGGTGCATGGGACGGCACTCAACCAACTGAGCGACACCAGCCAGGGCAACTCATCAGTCTTTCTGTGTCATTGTGTCATGGTGCTTTTATCTCATTGTATTGTGCAGTGGGAACAATGGCAGGTTTCATCCCAAAACCAAAGAACTGACTCTCGGGTCCAGAACTTCTAGCCACCTGGCAAAAAATCTGAGCTTATTTCCCCATCTGTAAAAGAAGGCTATGCCCTACTCTAATTGCTTCAAAGGATTTTGAAAATCAAATGACATACTGTATGTGAAAGTGCTGTATAGCCCTAACCGGTCTGGCTCAGTGGATAGAGCCTCGGACTGCGGACTGAAGGGTCCCAGGTTCGATTCCGGTCAAGGGCATGTACCTGGGTTGCGGGCACATCCTCAGTAGGGAGTGTGCAGGAGGCAGCTGATTGATGTTTCTCTCTCGTCGATGTTTCTAACACTCTGTCCCTCTCCCTTCCTCTCTGTAAAAAATCAATAAAATATATATATTTTTAAAAAGTGCTGTACAAACTAAGAGATTATTAGCACAAGAGTATTAACCTAGCCCTACCAGTTTGGCTCAGTGGATAGAGCGTCAGCCTGCGGACTCAAGGGTCCCAAATTCGATTCTGGTCAAGGGCATGTACCTTGGTTGCGGGCACATCCCCAGTAGGG